ACAGGACCCCAGCTACCTACAACCCTAACAGAGAAACACCCAGGCATATAATAATAAAAATTCCAGAAATTCAATACAAGAACAGAATATTAAAAGCTGTAAGAGACAAGAAACAGATCACTTACAAGGGAAGACCCATCAGAATTACAGCAGATTTCTCTTCACAAACCATCAAATCACGAAGAGCATGGGGAGAAATAATTCAAGCTTTGAAAGATAATAATCTCCAGCCAAGATTGAGATATCCTGCACAACTGTCCCTGGAAATTGATGGAAAAACGAGGTGCTTCCAAGATAAAGAGGAACTGGGGGAATTTGCAACCACCAATTCAACCCTACAGAAAGTATTGCAGGATATTCTAAAAAAAGAAAAATACAAAGAACCCAGAAATAGTGGCGGGGAGGCCACAACGAATGGAGCAGAGAACAAAATGAAGAAGACAAACTGACAGCTACTGACAGAAAAAGAGCTCAACAGAAATGAGACAGAGAAGATTGGATGATAGGAACAGCTTTTTTTGGAGAAAATGACATCTTAATAGGTAATGCTGATTTAGTACCATCTTGTTTTGAAGTCTCATCTAGCTTTTGTTCTTCTGTCTCAAATGGTCTAAACAGGTTGTATCTTATTGGATTTTGCTATGTACGATAGTATAAGAAAAAACCTTTTAAAGACAAGGAGATTATACAGAGACCATTGTTCATTTTCTGTTAGTCGATTTTAAATACTCTATAATGCTGTCATTCTCTTAAATGGATTTACATTGTTTTGATATACTTAATGCTACAGTATATGAAGTTGTACTCAAGGACTTCAGGGAAGGAGTCAATATGGTAACTATTTTTGGGTCAGGATTAGCTGGTGGTGAAACACTATTCTGCTTAAATGGTTATGTTTTGATCTGCCCTGTTTCGCTGTTATGCCCTCTTTTTTCTCAATCTCCACTCCATTATTTACTTTTTTATTTTTATCCATTTAATTAAAGGAAAAAAATAGCAGGATATATTATAGTAACCCAACTTTGACTTTCCATTATCTCAACTTAAAGCCCTGTATTACTCTCACCATCTGGTTTTGACTGATGTTCCCCTATTCTGTTTTGCTGGATAGTATCAGGTTCGAAAGTTTAGGCATCAGCTGTGAAGATAATGAAATTCATTATAACGCCCATTCTCGTTGACTTTTATCTACTTTTGAAGACCTACAATGTCTCCAATGCTTTGGTTTTGTTGGTTTTATTCTTTACTGTTTTGTTCAATTGTATTATAACTAATGATATAGGCAATTCTATTAGAGATAGCGGGAGGCATTATGGTAACCATTGTTGATCACCTTGTATTATGTTTTTACATTATCTATTATGTCCACCCTTTTGACTTGACCGATTCTGTTCTGTTATGTCACATTTGGCTCTACTCTCTTCCAAAAAGGTAATAAGAACCGTGGGAGCAATGAAACCCAAAATGTGTAATAGTCATTGTACAAAAGAGAGGAAAAGAAAGTGCTCTAAACTATATAACTACATGTATATTTAAGTGTATAAGATAGGAAATGATATCACAGAGTTTTATTGGATCATTGAACAGAACTGTTTGCAGTATCATTGTTGGAATGTCCACTCTACAAGCTTTAATTCTGTGACTTGAACAATTATTTTTAAGATGGCAATATGTAATCCATTAACTAGTGATTTCCTACTGTTCATTTTTTTCTTCTGTAAATCTGTATAACTTGTACCCTTTCACTTTTTTTTCTTTTCTCCTTTAAAAAAAAAGTATGTGGTAATCATGATTCCCCATTATTGGGCTCTCAATTATTAATCATAATTCCCCATTATGAAGCCTTCTTCATTTCACTTTCTGCTCCATTCATTGTGGCCTCTCTGTCTCTCTTTCTGGAATCTTGGTATTTTTCTCTTTTAGAATGTCCTGCAGTATTCTCTGTAGAGTTCAATTGGTGGTTGAAAATTCCCCTAGTTCCTCTTTATCCTGGAAGCACCTTGTTTCTCCATCAATTTATAGGGTCATTTGTGCAGAATATATCAATCTTGGCTGGAGGTTATTCTCTTTCAAAGCTTGAATTATTTTGCCCCACGTTCTTTGTGATTTGATGGTTGGTACTGAGAAGTCTGCTGTAATTCTGATGGGTATTCCTTTGTAAGTGATCTGTTTCTTGTCTCTGACAGCTTTTAATATTCTGTTCTTATATTGTATTTCTGGAATTTTGATTATTATATGCCTGAGTGTAGTTCTGTTTGGGTTGTAGGTGGCTCGGGTCCTGTATGCCTCATAGATCTGAGTATCTTTACCTTTTCTCATATTAGGGAAGTTCTCCTTGATTATTTCTGTGAATAGCCTTTGCAGTTCTTTTGTTTGTATCCCTGCTTCTTCCTTTATATTCTTAATTCTTAAGTTATAGATCCTCTTATTATCTTCTAGCCTTTGTATTGTTACTGCTTGTTTCCTTGTTATTTTTAAGAAGTTTTTCCTTTCATGCTCCCACATTTCAAATCTGTCCTCCAGTTCAGATAATCTATCCTTAGTTTCTTTCAAGCTGCTATGCCAGCTTTCAGTAGACTTTTTAGTTTCTTGGTAATCTCTTTGAACCTGCTTCATGTATTCTATGCTTTCACTATTTTCTCTATCAAACAATTCTCCCCTTGCTTTCTGTTCTCCCATCCCACCATCTGTTTTTTCTTGAGAGGTGCTTAGCATTTCTTTAACTATTCTACTTATATGTTGCTTTACTTGGTTAAATACTTCACTTTTGAACTTGTGTATGAGGTCCTAGAGATATCCCTTTATGTCTATTGGTGCCATGCCTGATATTGCATGTTTTCTGTCCTCATTCTCCTTTGCATTTATGTTTCCTGGATCAGTGTTCTCAGGATTGGGGACTGAGGACCCTTTGATGTTGCTCCCTCTTCCCATACTTTTTGTTCCTTTCATACAGGCATATATAGGAGGTCCAGTTTCTTTCTTTGTTTGAATCACACCAGCTAGGTGTTCCCACCCACTGCAGTGTACTAGGGAGACATAGACCTGGGCAGCCTATGCTGGGCCTGCCCCTCCAGGTCAGTCAACCTGCTGAAGGCTTCACTGCATTAGGGTGCACTCCCAGGTGCAGGGACCTGGTTTAGGCTAGCCTACTGGGTCTTAGTCCCCGACATCATCCAGGTCAAGTGCTCCCCACCAATCCCACTTGAGAGGGCAATATGTGACTGAAGTCACAGAAGCATCCTGTTTTGGCTAGTTTTCCCAGTCCCAGAATGTCCTCTGTTAGAGCCTCCTAATCTACAGAAGGGTCCCTGTTCCTCTCACTCACCACAGGTTGATGCAGGGCTCCCTGCCATCTCTGCTCTCAATTCAGTTCGCCGATTCCCACTCTCAGAGCTTTCACATCTCTATCCCTGCTGAGCCGATTCAGATGCAGCAGCAGTGGCAAGAATTCAAGCCACAGTTTCCAGAGGTACAGGTTCTGGCTTCGGCACTGAGACTTTAGCTGTTCCAGTTGTAGCACCGGGATTGCATTTCCAGTTGTTTTTTTCTCAGCTTAGTTCATTCCTGGGTCAGTAAGGTATATCTCCCCCTGCTTAGGACTCCCCACTCTGCACCATTCCTGGAATCTAAGCTGGCTATCTCAGAGAGCCTCTGTAGCTGCTGTTATGTATCTGCCATGTTCTCCCAGAAGTTTGGGATATCACCTTATTAAAAGCTTCTTTACAACAAAAGAAATCATCAACAGAATGAAAAAAATAACTAACAGAGTGGGAAAAAATTACAATCAATTGTCCCCAATTGAAAAATGGGCATCTGCAGTAAATACACACTTCTCAGCTGAATAAATACAAATGTCAAAGAAATACATGAAAAGATGTTCAAAATCATCTGTCATTAGAGGGATGCAAATTAAAACATCACTGAGCTTTCATCACCAGAAACATTTAAACAGCACTAAGATACCATCCAGAAAATTTCCACAATTGCAGCTTATCCCATATGACTTTCATTAGTATCAAAAACACCTGCAACATTTTGGAGACATTTTAATACACAAGTTGCCTATTTGCAAAGGGAGAAAGTTGCTTTTAAGAATATCTGCTGTTGACCATTTGTTATTTACAGTGTTTGCTTCGAGAAAATGTTGTAGTCAGGGGTTGTGCAGAGAACAATTAGAATCTGGACATGGAGTTCATAATATTATTTTTGTGATAGTCACCCAGAGTTAACATAAGAAAATGCAGCAAATTTATCTACAACACCAAAGACATAGAATATTTAGTCAAAGGCCTAAATACAATATCAATGTCCCACATGAGTCCAGATGAAAACCCAGAGCTCATGACAATGCCTCCTATGAGTCCAACTGGAAGTCAGAGCCCACAACAAGGATTCATGCCAGTCTCTTTTATGGATCTGTGCCTGGAAGGCCCAAAGGTCAGTGGTGGAAGCCAGAAAGTCCACACCAGCAGAGTGAAGGAGCTGTGATGATGGGATGAGGGTTCTACACTGAAGCCACGAAGCCACAGTCATAGCAAAGACCAGGGCTGTCCTGAAAAGCACCACAGCCATCCTCAGTGACACAAAGGCCCTGAGCTCCTCTGATGATAAGCACAGTTGAGTACATGCCAAGAAGCCAGCATGATGAGTTCATCCTGGAGACCAAGCAGCACACATCTTTCCCTCTTGAATCAGGAATCAATGCTTGATGTGAGGGCCAGAGCTTCTCCAGGAGAACCAATGGCTCAAACAGCAACTCATAGGAGAACCTACAATGCCTCAACGCCTCAACGCAACTCAATGCATTAATGCCTCAGTGCATAGCTTCTCCTTCTCCATGTCTCTATTTATGCTGGCAACTTTCCTCAGGTAGAACATCTATGCTCAGCACCACACTGATGTAATCCAGCTGACATTAAGTTGACCACCAGTTATTATCCATACCAGCTAGTTCTTACAATATGTGATATTAGTCCTATAATTTTCCTTTTTTTTCTCAGATTTGGGAGAAAGTTACTTCTCACATGTTGTTTACTCCAAATGGCCATCACTAACACTTGTGCTGCCTTTGCTCCCACATTTCTTGTTTACTGCCTACTGCGCTTCTTGGCTGGTATTTGTACCTCAGTCATCGCAACCAATAGTACTATGCTCGGTAAGTCAACACTTTTAATCTTGGGAATTTTCTAAGACTTAATTTTGACCTTGAGATTTCACTTTTGTTACAAGCCAAGATTCAGTTGTGTTCTCTTTCAGTATTAGAGTGGACGGTACCCAAATATCAAGTCATGAAAGTGATGCTACTAAATGCTGCTGCTAATATTGGATACATACTTATGGCAAGCTTTGCTTTTGCTTTTCGAAACTGGTTCACACTTCAGCTGATATTGTCTGTACCTTTATTTTTGTTTTTTATATCCTCAAGGTATGAGCTTTTTTTTTCTTTTGATGTCTTAGAGGATCCTGAAATTAGAATGTGCTAGAAGTAGGACAGAACTAAAACTGATAAAAATTAAGAACACTGAACAAAATTCTAGTTTGGGTAACTAACAACCATGTTTAAATTATATCCCAAAAGTTGCAAGAGATGTAATGAAAAGTATTTGTTTTTTGTATGAAATTTCTATTTAACTGATAGTTCTGTAGTTTATTAACTAATGAGATAAAGTAGGCCCCATTACATTCCATTACACATTATTGTGTTTATCATGTCCAAAATATTACATTACTATAACTTATATTATATAATTTATACTATTTAAAATTCAAATTTACACATATACTAATTATGTTTATTAAACTAAATAACCTTGAAAACAGGAAACAGCAATGAATGCTCACTTGAATATTATGAACTGTTCTGACTCTTCTTGCTAATAATATTTAATTGGTGGTGTGGAAATAGAAGTTTTACAGAAATATTGTCATGGATGATGTAAGAAAGCCTTTGATGTTTAGTAACCCCCAGGGTGGTCAGGGTTGAAATGTTGCCTTTGCAAAGAAATACACACTGAAGAGTTTTGTGATTTTCATCTTGGAGGTGAAAGAAACAAGTATTTTTCCTCCAATATTAATTAATAAATAAGAATCACAATTTCTCTAGGATAAAATTTTAGGCAGAATGATTTACATATATCATGTGTTCTGTGAACCTTCCTTTCTTGTCTTTAAATTGACAAGACATTCTGGTATTCCAAAAGAGCTGTTCCAAAAGATGTATTATTGTTTAGAAATGACTCATAGAGACATGATGTTTAGCTTTCTTCTGTTCCAGTTGCAGGAATAGTGATTCTAGTCTGCATAAGATATTTAGAGTAGAAAAATAATTTAGGAATCCTTATTTTAGAAAGATAATGTGTTACGAACAAATATTTCCAATTTTTTACAAGGAATTTTTACAAGAGGTATGTACAAGTAAGTATCCCTCGTGCTCCAGCCTTATGAATTCCACAGTAGTTTTATGTTTATTTAAAGGGAGCCTAATATGCCTCTATGGCATTCTCAGTATTGAAATGATACAAGACATCATCAGATTATATTTCTCTGTTAGACTATATTTCTCTCTTAGTTAGACTAAGTGAAGTTAGACTAACAGAAAAGCCACTGAAAGATAAAGGGAATGTGGAAAATGACCACATGAGAGTTAATTACACTTTCACTGTCTTCTTTATTCAGGTGGATTTCAGAGTCTGCTCGGTGGCTGATTATTGTCAACAAACCTAAGAAAGCCTTAAAGGAACTTAAAAAAGTTGCACATATGAATGGAAAGAAGAACATTAGAGAGACCCTGACCATGGAGGTGAGTGGCATGGGAGCTGGTTATGAGACAAAGAGAAAATACAGTCTGATGTATGTACTGGTTTCTGTCCAAAAATGAAATATCCTTTACAACATTGGACACAGATATTTTATTCAAGAAAAGTATTGATATTTTTCTTTCTTTTGCTCTTTAATTTAACAAATACAACTTCCTCTGAAATATTTTATTCTTTTTGTGAGGTAGGAGATTTATGGTGGCATTTTCATACCTGAATATAACATGCCTTACTCATATCATCCTGTTACCCTCCCTCTTCTCTATCCATTGGTCCTTTTCATTTCTGTAATACCCTCCACTCTATTTTATCTTTTCTCTAGATTCCACATATTAAGGAAAACATATGATACTTATATTTCTGAGATTAGTTTCTTTTTCTTTTTTTGTCTTTTTGAGACAGGCTCTTTCTATGCAGTTCAGGCAGGCCTTGAGCTTACTTTGTAACCCAGGATGGATGAACCCCACTTGATCATGATGTACAATCTTTTTCACAGTTTGCTGCAATCTATTTTCCAGTATCTTATTGAGAATTTTTGCATTATTGCTCATTAAAGAGACTGGCCTATAAATCTCTTTCTTAGTTGGGTCCTTCTCTGGTTTTGGAATCAGAGTAATGATTGTTTCCAGGAATGAATTTGTGCATATTGGTTCCCTTTTATTTCATTAAAGAGTTTGAGAAGTAGTAATAGTAGGCCTTCACTAAATGTCTTGTAGAATTTATCAGTGAATCTGTTAGGGCCTGGACTTTTCTTTGTTGATAGGTTTTTAATTACATATTTGATTTCATTTATTGATATTCGGTTATTTTGGAGTTTTACATCTTTTTGGTTCAGCTTTGGTAATTCATATGTATGTAGGAATCTGTACAATTCTTCTGTGTTTTCCATCTTATTAGAGTACAAGTTTTCAAAGTAGGTATACATGATTTCTGAATTTCTGCAGTCTGTTGTGCTTTGGTCCTTTTTATTCTTCATTAAATGAATTTGAGTATTTTCTTTCCTTTTTTGATAAAATTGGCTAAGGGTTTCTCAATTTGATTTGATCTTTCAAATAATCAAATCCAATTCATTGATTCTTTGTATATTTTTTAGTCTCCACTGTGTTAATTTCTGCTCTGATTTCTATAATTTCCTCCCTTGTATGAACTTAGCCTGCTCTTCTTTTCCTAGAAGTTTGAAGTTCAAAATTAAGTTATTTGTATGCATTTGTTCTGCTTTCCTGATGGGAATATTCACTGCTGTAATTCACATCTTAAGACCGCCTTCATTGTGACCCATAAGTTCTGGTATGTTGTATTATCATTATCATTCAGCTGTAAAAATTGTCTAATTTCTTTTTTAATTTTTAAAGTATTTTATTTTTATTTACTTGAAGAAAGAAAAAAGATAGAATAATATAGAATTCAAAAAATTAACACTAGGAAATCATACATATTGTCATCTTAGAAATAGTTCTTCAAGTTACAAAATCAAAGCATAAAAAGTGGGTTTCCTGCCATGCTTGGTCAGCTCTAGGAATCTTGGGCCAGCCTGTGCCACCAATTCTGGAAACTGGTGGCTGGAGGTGAGTGTTCCTGTACCATCCCAAGCCCAGAAGTTTGGGATCATTGCTTCCACCAGCCAAGGAACTTCACAGCTTCCTGCCACACTAGACCAGCCCTGCAGGGCTTGGGCCTCCCTGCCCCACACCAAGTGTCCCACTCTCAATCTGGGGGACTGGGTGGCCAGAGTCCTGGGAGTCAAGGGCATAGAAGAGTATTTCCAATAGTGTTCCAAGGACATAGAAGCCTTGGAATAACACTTGAAACACAGAAATACAGGAAAATGACAAAATGGAAGACCAAAATGCAATCTCAAACCTCAAGACCATCCCAAGAAACCTTAGACACTATGTACATAGAAGAAAATATATGCCATATACCTGAACTATCAGACATAATAGCAACTGAAATAAAGAAGCAACTCCAGGAAGTTTTAAAGGAATTAAACTAGAAATAATCTCCCGGGTTAAAAAAAAAAAAGAAATGAAAGATTCTGGACATACCTAAAGAAGACATAGTTTAAATATTGGAGGAACTAAACAAAAAGAGAGAATCCCTGGATGAACAATATAAGAAACAAACAAATACATGAAGCAGATACAGGAAATCAAAAATTCCATTGAAAGTTGTAAAAATCACCTCAACAAAAGTGAATATAGAATTTCAGACCTCGAAGACTAGTTTCCAGCTAGTGAACAGGAAAGGAAAGATCTCTTAAAAAGAATAAGGATTCAGGAAATAAAAATTCAACAGCTGCAAGACTATGCAAAGAAAAACAACAGAGGTTGACAGGCACATGTAAACTGTTTGGTTCTGACCTGTGTTGTTCTGTTACTATGTCCTCTTTTATCTAAATCCCTCTTTTTAAATTAATTTATTTTTTCTTATTTTTTTAATTAAGGGAAAACTAAATTGAAAAATAGTGGAATATAGCATAGTAACTTTTTTGTTTTCCTATTAATCTGATTTGAACCCCAGTGTTGCTCTCCCCATCTTGTTCTGTCTGATTTTACTATATTCTGTTTTGTTTGATAGTATCAGGTTTGAGGGTATAGGCAGCCAGCTTTGAAAGCAATAAGATTTACTATGATGCCCATTATGGTTTAACTATTATCTTCTTTTGAAGTCCTGTAAGGTCTCTAGTGTAGGTTTTATTGGTCTTGTTCTGTACTTTTTTGGTCAATCCTATTATACCTGATGATATAGGCAACTCTTTTTAAGATAGCAAGAGGCATAATGGTAACCATTTTTGATCACCTGGTATTCAATTTTTGTATCAAGTACTATGTTGATCCTTCTATTCTAACTGACTTTGTTTTGTTTTGTCACATTCGGTTTTATTCTCTTCAAAATAAAGTAATAAGAACAGTGGGAGTAATAAAATCCAAAAAGTGTAATTGTTATTATAAAAAAAGAGCGGAAAAGAAAGTGGTCTAAAGGACATAACTGCATGTATATTTAGGTGTGTAGGATACAAAACCATATTAGTGAGTTTTCATTGGATCATTGAACAGAACTGTCTGCAATCTCACTGTATGAATGTCCACATTGTGTATGCTTTAATTCTGTAATTTGGACAACTGTTTCTAAGATGACAGTATGTAATCTATTAACTAGTGATTTCTTACTGTATATTTTTTTCTTGAAATTCTGTATTACTTGTACCCTTTTACTGCTTTGTTTTTTTTTCCTTTCTTTTTTCTCATTAAATAAAAAAAGATTGATAGGCATAAATGAAAAAAAAGGGGACAAAAGAAATGATATCAAGAGGATATTTATAGAAGTAATAGCTGAAAATTTCCAAAACATGAGAATGGAAACTGACATCAGGATGAGTGAAGCATAGAGAACTCCAAATAGACATAACAAAAATAAAGCTATATCCAGATATGTAGTAATCACCACCCCAGAAATCCAACATGAGAAAAGAATATTAAAAAATGTCAAAGAGAAAAGACAGATCACCTATAAAGGAAGGCCTATCAGAATCACAGCAGACTTCTCAGCACAAACAATAAAGTCAAGAAGAGCATGAACTGAAGCTTTTCAGATCCTAAAGGAAAATAATTTCCAACCAGGACTGATGTACCTGTAAGACTGTCCATCAAAATGGATGGAAAATTTGCCGAAAACTAAAGCTAGACCCATGTCTATCACCATGTACTAAATTAAAATCTAAATGGGTCAAAGATCTGAATATTAAAACAGAAACACTAAATCTATTGGAAGACAAATTGGGTAGAAACCTTGAAGACATAGGAGTAGGTAGAGAATTCATGAACAGGACTCAAACCACACGGGAAATACGTCCCAGAATCAATAACTGGGTCCACTTCTTATTAAAAAGTTTCTGCATGTCAAAAGAAATCTCCAGCATAGTGAAAAGAAAACCCACAAACTGGGAAAAGATTTTACTGAACTCTCTCTCAGACAAGGGACTCTTGTCTAAAACATATAAAGAATTAAAAAAAACTCAGTCCCCAAAATTCAAAGATCCAATCCAAAAATGGGCATCTGAGATGAATATGCACTTCTCAGATGAAGAAATGCAAATGGAAAATAAATACATGAAAAAATGTTCATCATCATTGGTCATTAGAGAAATGCAAATTAAAACCACACTGAGATTCTATCTCACTCCTGAAAGAATGGCCAGGATCAAGAAAACCAACAACAACAAATGCTGGAGAGGCTGTAGGGAAAAAGGAACTCTCCTACAATGTTGGAGGGAGTGTAGACTGGTGCAGCCCTTGTGGAGGTCTGTCTGGAGATTTCTGAAAAAGCTGGGATTGGAAGTCCTATTTATTCCAGCTATTCAACTTCTAGGCATATTCCCAGAAGAACTGAAAGCATCATACCACAGTGATATATGTGCACCTATGTTTATAGCAGCACAATGTGTAATCGCCAGATCTTGGAAACAACCCAAGTGTCCATCAAATGAGGAATGGATAAAAAAGTTGTGGTATTTCTATACAATGGAGTATTATTCAGCTATAAAGAAGGATCACATTGACATATTTATCAATAAATGGGCGCAGCTTGAGACCATACTCATAAGTGAAATAAATCAATCTCGCATGTGTGAATACCGAATAGTTTCCCTAATGTAAGTAATGATTCAAATATATAAAAATATGTGGTAATCATGATTCCCCATTATGTGATCTTGAAGCCTTATAAAATTTTCACTTATTAATTGGAAAGGCTTTATTCCAGGTTTCTTGATATGGAAATATTTGAAGCTATAGTATATGAACCTTTATTCAAATATTTCAAGGAAAAAGACAGACACTATGGTAACTACTATTATAGTTGGGTTATTTGGTGGTGAAGCACTAGGTTGCTGAAACAGTCATGCTTTGACCTCTATTGTTATATTGATATGTCCTCTTTTAGCTCAATCTCTCCCTTATTCATTAAGAATATTATTTAGTTATTT